TCTTGTCTGAGGTGGGATTCCAGAGGCAGCACAGCATTGGGAAGGCAGATTTGCTTTGCTATTATTGAAGCACTAAAAAGTTTATGTAGAGAAAGTCCCACCACAAAGAACTTGATTCTGGCTTATAGAGATGAGAAGAACATTGCTTTCAAAATTCCTTCCTGCACCTGACCATGCTGCCTTGCCACAAAGAATATTCCTCAATGGGAGCATTGTCTACTTGAAAGTAGAAATCCCATCACTAGAATTTTTGTGGAAAAGGGTCAAAGACCTTGAGCAGAAACAAGGTCATTTCATTCATTTATAAATGAGATTTACCTTTGTGTGGTGTTCTTGGGTTTTGTTCTTATTTATTTATATTTTGGCTATACAGCTTTTTATTTTTATATTTTTCTTGACAAATCACATAGACTTTTTTTTTGGTGTCTGGCCGGTGAGGGGATCCAAAACCTTGACCTTGGTGTTATCAGCATCATGCTCTAACCAAGTGAGCTAACTGGCCAGCCCCTACAAATCACATATACTTTCTGGTTAGCTTTTCCCAAACTGAGCAGATTTTAAAAGTTCATAATTTTAAAATCTCAGGAAAGAATAAATTGGTAGACAGCTTTTTATTTGGTATTTTCGTAGCAAAAGAAATCGCAACTTTTTCAAAAAAACGTTGGGTGGGTTTCCGATAGGCTACTTGCAGAATAAATATAACCTGGTTCAGCATTTATAAATCAATGATTCTTTTTCTTTTGCCCCACTATTCAGTCTGGTAACCAAGTGCTTGCATTCTCCCTTTTGCACTGAGCCGTTCTTTTATATATATATATATATATATATATATATATATATATAAAAATTGTCATTTCTTATTAGAAATTGTGATATTGTGAAATACATATTTTGTCTTCATCCTGTTTTCTAACTTACATTAAGGGCTGGTCACTGGAAAGACCAAGGCATGATTGCAGGGTTGGAACTTTCAGCCCCATCTCCCAACCTCAGGGGAGGGGGGTGGGAGGGGCTGAAGGTTGAGTTGATCACCAGTGGCCAATGATTTAATCAATCATACTTGCATAATGAAGCTTCCATAAAAACCCAAAGGGACTAGGTTCAGAGAGCTTCCAGAAAGCTGAACATGTGGAAGGTCCTGGAAGGTGGTGTGCCCGGACAGAGTATGGACGTTCCACTCCCCTTCTCACATACCTCTCCCTATGCATCTCTTTCATCTGGCTGTCCATCTGTATCCTTTGTAATCTTTATAATCAATGGGTAAACATAACAAACGTGTTTTCCTGAGTTCTGTAAACAACTCTAGCAAATTAATTGAACCCGAAGGTGGAGTAGTGGGAACCCCTATTTAAACCAGAACCGTAACACCCGTGCTTGTGACTGGCATCTAAAGTTAGGTGAAAGTCTTGGAGACTAAGACCGCAACCTAAGGGATCTGACACTATCTCCAGGCAAATGGTGTCAGAATTGAATTGAATTAGAAGACAGCTAGATGGTGTTCTCTGGGGAATCTGCTGCAGAATCTGCTTCAGAATTGCTTGATGTGTGGGAAAGAAACCCCACATACCTGGTGACACAGAGCTGAGTCACTGTGTGAGTAGGGAGTAAAGAACAGGAAAAACACTTTGGTTTTTGGTTTTTCCTATTTCTAGGATTAGTGTCAGAAGTGTTGTGTTGAAGCCGGCCAATTAGCTCACTCGGTTAGAGCATGATGCTTACACCAAGGTCAAGGGTTTGGATTCCTACTGGCCACCATCAAAAAAAACCCAAACAAAAGTGTTGCATTGAGTGACTGAGTGAGTGAGAGAAAACACTTTTATTTTTTTCCCATATGCCTCCTTACAGAACCATATTAAATGAGTAAAGGGGACATATTTTGTACTGCCCAGAGAATCAGGAGAATTAAACTTGCTTCCAGCATTATGACAGCAATAACCTCTGAGTTTGTCAAAGAGAAAGAAAAGCAGTAGTAGGGAGGAGACTTTCCAGAGGCTCCAAAATGGAAGGGGGATTGATTTCAAGGAATTAGAAGAAAGTTTTATCAGAATACAGTGTGAATTTCAATCATTTTCAATTGAATGTTGATTTGTGTTGGCCGATTCATATTATTTTTGGTGCATTTTGCCACAAATGGGGAAAGCCATTTCTCTCAATCAACTATTGCTTTTTAATGATGAGAACTAATATAAAACATTAAAAGGCAGCATACAAGTTTGGACAAAGAGAAAGCCATGTGGGCATAAATAATCAGGGACTGTTGTAGAACTCTAAGATATGCCCCATTCTCTGCTACTGCCACCAGATCGGTGTAGGCTCTCAGGACTTTATGTCTTGTTAGTGAAGGAGAGAAAAGAGAAGTGGGGTAGGGGGGAGGAGGGAAAAGAAGAGAATGTCATGACCAGTAGGGTTTGCTGTCAACAGGTATAGAATAGATTTTGTTCTGTTCCTTTCTGTTGACCTAGACTGTGGTGGAGGAGGACATTAACTCTTTCTGAAAATTTTATCTGTACTTTTCAGACCTCTAAAAAAATTGTGAGTTTATGTTGGTTCTTTTTTGGAGATCTAAGATTTCTCTTTTTTGGGGGGACAATACTTCAATGGATCTATGACAGGATAGGATGGAATGGAAATAAAAATTGCTTTGCATAATAAAGGTGGAATATAGTGAAGACTTGTTTCATTTCCATTCAAGTTATTTTATCTGCCGTTCCACTCAGTGGGTCTGTGAGGCAGATAAAGGATGCTGTCAGGTCTGAAACAGTCAATTCATGTTGGAAATACTCAGGGAATGATTGTGTGACTCATTTTAATGGCTTCCCCACACCAACTATGAATTGAGACACATGGTTCAGGTGTCTGGGATCTTGGCTGGTGATGACTCTGTCAGTATCCTCAAGGAAGAAATTGAAAAATTAATTGAGGGTCATAGAGCAACTGTCATTAAAGAAGATTCGACTTTATGAACTATTTACATGGTTTTCAAGAATGTTGACTTTAGAACTTAATCCCCACTAAAGAAGGGATTTTAAGAAGAGTTTTTAGTTTTCCCTTGGCAGTCAGAGACTGTGGGTTTAACCCATTTACTCAGGCTAGGACCAAAGAAGAAGTTTAGTAAGGGATTGCCTCCGTGGTGTATTGTCAAAGAAATTTAGGAGCAGGGATGTATGATAATTCAGTTTTAAGTTCTTTCCTGTTTTTGTGCTGTAGATACTCACCATTAATTGCTAACCGTTGGTAAACATCTGTTATACCCACTGGCCTTGAATTGTTCATGCCTTGGAGAATGAAGAGGGGGGCTACCTTCATTAAACGAGATAATGTACCTAAAATACTTAGTACAAGTGGTTGCACCAGAATATAAATATTACATAAATGTTAATAATATTACGCTTTGGGAATGGAGAAAGCTGCCTTAGCCTGGAGGAACAGACAGGTGATAGTAGGAGGTGATCAAGGAGGAGCTGGGAGGAGTTTAGAACAAGAGTGGACAAATGACACTGTGGACATTTATATTCTCATCTTCACTTCCTCTCATCCTCTGGAATGTTAGGGAGCATGCTTGGCTTCAAACAGTTACTTGAGTAGTTATTATATGGAGATATTAAAGGAAAGAGGGAACCTAGAAGGCATAAGCCTTGTGACAATGTGGACCTTGACAATTTGGTCTCAAAACTTGTTCAAGAGGACTCTGGGAAAATACGGATGGAAGAATAGTGGGAGGGAGTAGAATATTCTGTATAATCCCCAACTGAAGAAAATGTTACGTGATTATTTGACTATTAACCCTTCTGTGCACCTGCTGTTACTAGTCCCAATTTTGTATTGACTGTGCTGTATAATTCTGTGTGTTCTGTTCAGGACAGAGATCTCTTGATGGCAGGGACCCACTGAACTGGTCTGAGTTCTCCCCCTGTAGATTCTTGTATTTTGCAATAAAATATCCTTGGTCGATTTGAAGTAAACAAAACACAAAGCTTTGTTTACTTGTTGCCTTGTTTACTTCATAAAACCTTTAAATCATTTTCCTTGCCCTTAATCTTTCCCATAGTTCAAAATACCCAGCACACTACTGACAGGTTCATCTTTCTAGAATAATGCTTTACTGGCAAGATTCCAGCATGACTTCCTAGCATTTACTAGATTGAGTCCAACCACAGGCTGGATGCAAGCTCGACCACAGCTTGGCCTAACCATCAATCTTGTCTCTTGATATGCATGAATCTTTCACCCAAGTCAGGCTGATCTCCTACTAACACAATATACCACTTCTAAAAAAAAAAAAAGATGACCGGTAAAGAGATCTTAACCTTTGGCTTGGTGCTGTCAGCACCATGCTCAGCCAGTGAGTGAACCAGCCATCCTTATATAGAATCTGAACCCATGGCCTTGGTGTTATCAGCCCCGCACTCTCCCGAGTGAGCCACGGGCCAGCCCCCCACATACCACTTTTATTCCTGCCTCTTCCCAACCCTAAATTCTCTTCCTCTTGCCACTGAGCCAAATTTTACCCACCTTTTCTCACCCAAAAGCCATCTTTCCTGTGAAAACGTCCCAAGTATTCTAGTCTATACTGACTTTTTCCCACCTGAGTTTATGTTGACATTAATAATATGGATTCATCAATTGATTGAACAATTATTTGTTGAGCACTGACAATATGCCAGGAACATAATGCAAATTTAATGCAAATTTATTATTTGCTTATGTACTCTTTTATATTTCTCACTATATGGGCATGTACTTATCTCCAAGAAAACCTTAAGGATTGTATCATTTCCATTTGTTTTCTCACAGAATTGGGCACAAAATAGGAAAACGTAAACATATCTTGAATTGACTGCATACTTGAATTATGCACATGACAAACTTTGGTATAATTAAACAGGTCATTAACTTGTCAATTTATGATCACTAGCCATATTAATTGGATGACGGCTCTTTTTAATAATAAACATTACTCTTCATGATGCCTGACCTCATTAAATCCTGCATAGTGACACTTTGTTTAAAAATTTTATTAATAGCTCATTTCATAGCTCACAAAAGGGTATTACAGATTACAATCAGCAGAACTGAAAACAAAAACCTCACCTTTACAGAGAGAGCCAGTGTATAGACTTTATTACATAGGCACATATTTTTTAAAAAGTAAACTGGTTTTACATTAAAGTAACCACAATAGTGCGAAAAGTTACATTGAATGAGGATGGAAGATGGAGGAAAATATAACTTGGATCAGCTGAAGTATTCACTGGATCTTGGGTGATCCTTTAAATGTTCATCCTGACACACTGAAATTCACTATGGACATTGCAAAAATGGGGGGTGAGGAGGGGTGCTCCCCTGTCATCCCCTGGCTAAAACACTGATTCTGATTAATCTCTTGAACATGGTAAAGTTTTGTTCAGGTTCTGTTGGCAAGTGGACACAAAGACAGAGTGAATGAATGGGGGCTTAGGGTCAGAGGAGTCCCTATCCTTCTCTTCCCTCACCCCCATACTTTAAAACCCTTTCACCCAACAGGCTGCTACCAGGATCTCCTCACTGCACATCTGCTCTCCTAGAACTGCTACTGTGGGGCACCACTGGGGTCGCTGATTCTAAAGCACATGGAGGCAAGCAACGGTGCTTAAGGCTTCAGTCATGGTGTGGCCAAATGGTGTCCACAACTAGAAATGAGGGTTTGATCTGAGGCAGAACGTGGGAATGAACAGGAGAGAAGGCTGGAATTCCTTGCTCTGTCCAGCTGGAATCAATCCATTACATCTGGCTAACACTAAGCCCAACCAGAAAAGAAACTAAAATCATACTCAAACACACCACAAGAGATGCTATTTATTTTTTGCGGCTGGCTGGTATGGAGGATCCAAACCTGTGACCTTGGTATTGCAAGGGTGCACTCTAACCAACTGAGCTAGCTGACCAGCCCCATAATTTCGGTTTTTTGGTGGCTGGCTGGTATGGCCAGCCCACCAAAAGATGCTATTTTATAGCTTGTACCTGTTTTTAAATTCTTTAAACTACATTTTCATGTTACTAACAGACAATGAGGAGGGTGGGGGCTATTGTCTTTTGCTTTCATTTGGTTTTGCCATAACAGTCTCAGGATGTTTGCTGGGTTTTTTCCCTCCCTTGATTTCGGAAGTCTTTTATATAAAAGGACATATCTATAAATCTAACACCCTACATCTTAACATTCTCAGTACTTTGGAGGGTTAGACCTCTTCTGCTTCAAGTAGTACCCAAATCCTAACACCCACTTTGGAGACCTGTCTGTTCCTCTTCACACTGTTTTGCTGGTGATGCCAGTGAAACTTCCAGGGCAGCATTCCAGCTGATCTTTACCACCCTCTTTGATCTTCCTTTTTAATCTGTATTTTAAAGGCAACTGCAAAATAGAGGGTTGCAGAGTTTTGTGTGTTTCTGTTGTCTGATCAGATGGTAGAGGGTAGAGGAGTAAAAAGGAAAAAGATAGACCAGCTGATTTTCCCAATTTCAAAATTTAAATCTCTTGATTCTTAAGAATTTAGGAAGAGTCATATTCATTCACATAAAGTTTCACTGAAAGTGGCACCAAGGGTTACTTTATAAAATAATCCATAGAACTAGAAACTGAAGCCCAGCTGGGAAAATAGCAAGTCATGTAACACAGTGATTGCCTCTATGACTATATCCTTTAAAGATTCACGGAAGCCCCAATTCTCCCTTACTAAAGCCATTATGGGATGGCTTTATATGGGCAATCCTCGGTGTCCTTATGTTTAGACTTTGCTCCCTTTAGGGAAGCTGGCTGCCAACACAGCACCTTGACCAGAGTAGACACTTGATGATAAATACTTGTTGAGTTGAATTAATTCTACTGTTTATCCCTGCTATGTAATCTTTTACTTTTCCTAGAGCTTTTTACTTTTAAGGGATGGCCTCTTCTTCAAGAATTTTGAGGCTTGGTAGCCAATGCTGTACTTGCTATCTCTCTATACCTTTTCACATTGATTTTTTTTTCTTTTTTTAAGAAGTCTGTTCTTTTAGGGGCCAGCCCGTGGCTCACTTGGGAGAGTGTAGTGCTGATAGCACCAAGGCCACAGGTTTGGGTCCCTATATGGGGATGGCCGGTTGACTCACTTGGGAGAGTGTGGTGCTGACACCAAGTCAAAGGTTAAGATCCCCTTACCGGTCATCTATTAAAAAAAAAAGAAAGAAGAAGTTTGTTCTTTTATAGCATCCAGTTATTATTCTCCTCTCCTCAGGCACTACCGGACACATTACTATGGATAGTTTCTGCCTTTATAGGCTTGGAATTGCAATTTAAGAGATTTACATTTTCTTTTTTTCAATTGTCAAAACAAGGACTAGACCTTCTTGAGATTTGCTAAGGCACACTAGATGAATTGTAAAAATTCCACATTCTTGCTTTAGTTAACACATGGGAAAATATTACTAATACACATTTGTTTTTTGCATTTGTTTTATACATCTCCTTCACTTTTAGTTCCTTAAATACATAAATATGAGTCACAATATCCAAAGCCAGTCTCATTTACAAAGAGCATAATTAAGAAATGATGCTTTGTGGGGAATTGGCACTTAGACAATGGTAATGTTTAGAAAACATCGTAGAAACTTGGTGAGAATGACCTGATTTTATATGAACAGTTGTCATGGTTTCAGTGGGAGGTGGTAGTAAAGTGTTAGAGACAATTTGTTTGCTAGATGAATTTTGTGGATTTAATTTTGTCAGATTTGTTTGAATTTCCTGTTAAATTGAATTCTTAACATGACCTAAACTCTAGATATGCTGGAATTAACTTATAATCATCATTCTTAGAAGAGTTAAATTTACCACTCCCAACTGGGAGGATTTCTGCAAGTAGGCTGGATGGTGGTGCTTCCTACTTACACCAATTTAATATTCCCAAGGCTTTTAAGAAAAAAATTTAGCTCATTCTCGCTTTCCCGCCACTAAACTTACTATGAATTATAAATCAGCTCTGAAATCATGATGTCATCTTATGAGTTTCAGCCTTACTATCTCAGACTTCCATCTTACTATGGTGACAAAATAAATACCCAGTAACGTTGGTCAGTGGTTCACATTGGGGAAAACAAAGACCTAGCACACCAAGACTGGCTGTGTCTCTATCAAATGCTTTCTTCTCCCATTGACCATTAAAATGGGCAAGGCTCAGGCTCACAGATCTGTTTGACTCCTAGGAACAAAGCTGAGTCAATAATCTTGACTATGGGCAGCATTTGTGCTACTGTAACTTTGGTCACAAAAATGTTTTTCAATATGAATAAAGTACACTGTAGTTCAAATTCAATGCTTAAGTACTAACAGTTATTTTTTGGTGGCTGGCCAGTACGGCTGACAGTTATTATCAGTTGACTCTTGGGGCAGAAATAAAAGGAAAGCAAAATTATTTAAGTCTTCCAGGAAACAGAAGTAGGCAGGCTTGCTTGCTTTACTATGAGTATTTGATGAAAACTAAGGGTCAAGTAGCCTTAGAGTCTCTGGGTCAATATTCTTTAAGCAAACATTTATTGAATACCTAATAATTTTCCTTTATTTCATGAATATATGTTTGCCTTACCAACAAGGTGGCTGAACACTATCATATTCCAAACGTTGTGCTACATACTGAAATAAAATAGGTTCCTTGCCTTCCTGGATCACATGTGAATAGAAATTACTCTCATTCAAATAAGAAATATTTTAAATAAAAAAATATTCTCAAGGATCATGAGCCCTGCCAATAATGCAGGCTCTTGATATCATGTGACATCTAATTTGTGTTCTCCTAGTAATACCATGTGTTGGTAAAATGAATTCACTTTTAATATTTTCACATTATTGATTACATAGACAGGGACTATTCATAACCACACACACACACAAAAAATCCAGTTTCAGAGTGGCAAATGTAGACTCTACACATCAAAAAGGTAATTTACCCAACTATGTTTTTCTATGTAGGTTATTACTAAAACACTAGGTCTAAAAATACATAGTTTTATATTCCCAAACCCCTAAATGCTACTCATAATCAGCTTACAGTAGTAGGAAAATAAATTTGATAAAATCAAGATGTAGGTTTTTAAAAATTAATAAATTTGCTCGCTGAATGTAGATAGCGGAGAAGAAAATTCCCCAACTCTTGGTTTAAAAAAAAAAAAGTCCAGATAAAAGCACAAAGGCAGTGAGAATTAACCAAGGTGGGGAAAATAAGATCCAACCAGCAACACAAATGTGATGCTAGCAAGGTGAAGTAGAGATCTCGACAGGGTGCTAAGTATGGGTGAGTAAGGAAGGTGCTGGCATAACCTTCATTCACCTTGCCAACTCTCCAACCCATCCGGATGTTCTATGAGGAATCTCAGATGCCTTTAGTAAAACAGGAAGAGATATGCTGTGGAATCCCTTGAAAAAGACTTTAGGGGACTGCACTGTATTTCAAGGAGCATGAAAAACCACTTAGGAAGGAAAAGACAACTGGAGTTAGAGAGTCCTATTACTATGGAGACTAAACGTATATTTAGAAAGGATCTCAGTAGTCATCTAGCCCAATCTGATGTAAGAGTCCCTTTCATAGCACCTGGGATAAATGGTTATTTTAACCTTTGGGTATTTGCAGCAACAGGAAATTTTACTAATTGAGTTCATTCCTCTTTAGAACAACTCTTACTAGAAAATTCGAATACTGAAGCAAACATCTGCCATCTGAAAAGTTGCTCTTTGTTCCTAATTTTTGCCCTTGGAAGCTACACAGAATAAATCCAATTCCTCTCTTTATAGCTCAACAGAAATTTCAAGGCAGCTAGTATATTATAACCTCCTTCTCTGCACTCCCTTCCCCTGTTCCTTATATAATCAGACCCTTCACAACCCTGCTTACCTGCCTGTGGACACAATCAATTTATTAATGTCTCTCTTAAAATATGGTACCCATAATTGAACCCAACCCTCCATCCAGATATTAACTGATGAACAGAGCATGCAGGACTCACTGAACTTCTACTAATGTAAGTTGAATGCATTAGCTTCGTGAATAGCCATAATATACTCCTGATTCAAAACTGAACTCCCATTTCCCTAAAACATTTCTACATGAACTGCTGTGAAACGGTGTCTTCCCACCACCTTTCCTATCAACACATACATGTAAACACACACATCCACAAACACACACATATGCACGCTCCACTCTATATACCTACAGGTTTGCATTTTAAAAACCCAGAATATAGGGTTTCTTATTAATACCTATTCAGTTTCATCCTTTTTGTTTCGGTCCTTTGTTCAGATATTTTAAAATATCCTAATGATTTCTATATCCTAGTATCAGTACATAGTTAGAATTCAATGAATGTTCATTGAATATATTGATCTTGAATCTCTCAGCCAAAAACTGGAGATATTGTCTATTTCTACATCACCTACAAATCTGGAAAAGTGTGCTTTCTGTCCCCTCACTCTGTTCTTCATGGGAGAAAACACCAGGGTACAAATAGGGAACGGATAAAGAAAAGGATATTGAGTGTCTTGACTCTTTGGAATCAGGATTCAGTATTCCTAACATTAGAAAAATATGGCTTTCTCCCATATCTAGGGGAGTCTTCTGCCTTTCGATCTATTACAATACGTGATTATCAAACTCTGAATTTTAGGGAAAAGCACATGCTAGCTCAGTTTTAAAACAGCTTTTAAAATGATCTCTTCAGCTTAAATTTACTATAAAGTTTGAGATAAAGAGACATGAAACTGTCTATTGGCTATGAGGTATAAAAAGAGCTCCCAAATGCCCCTGACAAGTGCCTGAGGTATAGGATATATATGTATATATATATATATATATATCTATTTGCTTCAGGAATCAGAAATGGCCTATATTTTTCAGTGTGAATTTGGGAATTCACTGTGATTGAAGCTTTCTCCCAAACTGAATATAATCTTACATTTAATGTCTCTTTTCCCCAGAATGAAGAAAAACAAATTCAATTTTGCTTTCCCTTCAATAGCCACTCTTTTGCAGAATGTAGGTCCAAGCACAGAATAAAAAAGAATCTTGTGCCTTTTTCCATTGTCTTTTGTGACTCAGGATAGTAGTAAATACTACAACTGAAACCTTAGAGAAATGGAAAAAATGTTTCACCCTAAGCAATGTAGAACCAGGAGGGAAACATCTCAAAAACTTCTGTTGCATAGTGTTAATATTTAAAGAATGGAGTTACCTATAAAAGGTCTAGTAGACCCCAAAAGGAAATTTGTTTTGCACCTTTTCCAAACCTTTTCTAGAGGGAGTGACAGAAGTGATTTCTTAATTAACTTCTCAAGACTGCCTTTATCAGAAACTCATGTGAGTGACAGATGAACATCAGAAGAAAACTGTACCAGCACTGATGTGGGAGGTTCTTTTCTTGTCACAACAAACCACATACCAGTGCTGTGAAATAAGCAGAGACGAGACAAGGAGACTTAATTATACAATAAGTTCCAAAAGTCAGGTGAACCACATGCTTCAGGCACTGATGTGGGAGGTTCTTTTCTTGTCACAACAAACCACATACCAGTGCTGTGAAATAAGCCGAGACGAGACAAGGAGACTTAATTATACAATAAGTTCCAAAAGTAAGGTGAACCACATGCTTCAGACATGATCACAGCCAAGGAGCCTCTTCAAAGCAACCACCTCAGGGGTTCCTGTTAAAATACAGGTAACTGCAAACAGGAAGGTCTGATACACTGTTCCCAATGTGGAGTGACCACAGCAGGTATCGACTTGAGCTTCAGCTATTCAGAAAGACACCTTAACATGACTCTTGGGTCCCTTGCTGTAGAGCTTTGTCACTGTACTCCACACTCCTTAGGATTTTCCATTTCATCTCCTTCAAAGTCTGGCTTCAAACTCTTTTTTTGCTCAATTTCCACCTGCCAAGAATAGAAGTTGGAGATAATTATCAGAAAAAAGAGAAAACCATGCAAATCAATAAATAAACCAAAGAGAATACTCCAGTAGGTTTTTTGAGATTCCATGTAATTTTGCTAATGTTTTGGGCTTTGGCCACACTGGAGCTACTGACCCTGAGTATATCATGATTCTCAGTTTGCACATGCTCTTTCCTTGGTCTGGAATTCCCTTTCCCTCATGGTCTGTGTGGAAAATTCTTATTCTTTGACTTGCACAGTTGCTTAAAGGTCACCTCTGTGATGCTATTCTTGACTCATTAAGTAGACCTAGGTGCTTCCCCTGTGATTATTTGCACTGTACCTTTTACTCTTGTCTGGCTCCACTATACCATAGGATCCCTAGGAAAGGGGCAGGATCTTGTTCACTGTTTTATACAATAATGTAAGCATGTAGTAGGCAACTGTCAAAGGTTTATCAAATGAATACTTCTTCAAAGTCTGTAACTGATTGTTTATATTCCTCCAATACGTTATCTCTTTAAAAAGCCTCCAAACTGATAAGTATCAGAGTGTTTATAGTTCTACTGTATTTTCTGCAAAAAATATAGTATCTATAATTATACAGGGATTAATAAATTAATCTTGCCTTGAAAGTGATATACCTCAACTGAAGCCTTTGACAAGTCAGGCAGGGAACTCTTCAAGCTCAGGAATTTTATAATTAAGGCTGCTCTGCTTGGCAACACTCTGGATCTTACAATGCTTGACTTAGAGGGTAATAGTTCAGGACAACAGTTGACAAGGGTCATGTTTGAGGGAAGTGCTATTTTTTTCCTGGCCACAAGATGGAGTATTTGTTCCTTTTAGTAGTTAAATGTTTTAGACCACAAAAATAAGGAAACATTTAGAGGAATAATCACCATATAAATCTCAGATTGTTATTATGAATAAAAAATTATCAAGCCACTTTGCAAAATCCTTCAACAACCCTCCTTTTCAATTTTTGACATTTAATCTTCTCCCATTGAATTTCTAATTCTTTAGGATATTAACACTTTCTATTTATATCAGAAAACTTCATCTCTGATTACTCCTTCCACAGCCCTGATCCCATTATTATTACATGGCTTTTGAGCTGTGTACTATTACAGCCCATTGACCAGGTTACATGTGTCCTAACTTTGTTCAGATCCACTTCATCAACTCCTGTAGTTGTAATTTAAGCTTTGGGTTAGCACTTTCCTGATACTCCCCTCTGCTTCCAAGTTCACACTACTCTGCAACATTTGCAATTATATTACAAATGAATAATAATAATAATCCCTTTACCACATTACTTTTTGTTGTTGTTCATGATGACAGAAAGTAATTATATTCTCTTTAATGAGCCTCTTTTTTTCCAACCTTCCTCTTGCCCACAAGAGAGATTATTCATTTAAATCACAACAGACTCATCCACAGCTGTGGACAGTGAACCTCCTCTAAGGCGGTAAGAGAATACCTTGCACCCATGGTAAGCATTGCTAAAAGGAGTAAGAGTGGGGAGGGTAGTGAGGTGAACAAATGGACTTGGAAACAAAGCCAGATGCCTCCCGAGGCTACCTGGTAGCTGTAGTGTGCAGAATAATTGACCCACTTCCTGACATCAGTCTTGTCTTCCACAGAGATGGATCGTACAGTGGCTTTGGAGGCAGAAGTTGTGGGCATGCTGAACTCGACATTCACGTAATTGGCAAATCTGGAAGGCACTTCCCGGTCAGAGCCAAGTTCAAGGTGGCAGAAGAAACAGTGTGGGTGACCAGAGGCTATAAAAGACAATGAAACCAGAGATCAGGTTTTTTGGGGGGAGCAAGTAGAAGAAGAGGCCAAAGGAGCCACCTCAATAACAAAGGAGGGGCTGGCCCCGTGGCGCACTCGGGAGAGTGGGGCTTCGGATTCTATATAGAAATGACCGGTCTGCTCACTGGCTGAGCATGGTGCGGCCGGTCACGGAAAAAAGAAAAATAATAATAATAATAATAACAAAGGAGGCCTGCAGGCTTGGCATGCAGCAGGCTTTTATTTATTTATTTATTTTTCCTTTTTGTCTTTTTTCGTGACCGGCAACGGATCGCAACCCTCAGTGTCGCGCCCGTACCGGACCGGGATGGCAACGGGATCGCAACCCTCGATGTTGCGCCCGCACCTCGCTCAGCCAGTGAGCCGCTGGTCTGTATGTGGGATCCGAACCCTCGGCGGGAGGGCCGCCCTGTAGCAGTGTGCCACCGGGCTGGCCCAATGCAGCAGGCTTTTAGAGGGTCCAACACCAAGCAGAGTCTTTGTCTCAGCAGCAGTCACACTGTGTGTGCCTCAGATCCTTTGATATGTGTAACACCATCTGATTACAGCAGGCTGGTATCCTAGAAATAGAACCCAAGGCCTGAGAAATGGGTCATTCTGTCTGCTCAGGTCAGGGTGATATGTGAATGCAGCACAAATACTAAGAAATAAGGGCTGTAGATTGGAAGAATGGAATAAAAGGGATCAGCACTTAGCACCTAATAAAAACATCAGTGACAGCCACCTGAAGCAAAATCACTGTTTTCCTTTGAATATGAATTGAGTTTTCTTAATAGCATTTCCTATTTTCAAAAATGCATTTGGCTTGTTTTTTGGGGGGCAAATGATATTTGTAAATGACAAAGACCTTATAAACAGCACCCATGTATTAGGGCAGCAAATGGTACACTGGACAGAACACCCGCCTAACAGAGCACCTGGGTTTGATTTCCAGCTCTCCTACTAAATGACAGAGATCCTGCACCCAAGTCCTTTGTTCTCTCCAGGCCTCAATTCAATTCATCATCTATAAAGTGGAGAGATTGGGGCTGGGGGTGGGGGGTCGGGCAGATGGAGCGGTAGGAAAGGGTGGGCTGGACAATGCCAAGCATAGTCCCTTGCTGCTCTTTAATTCTATAAATATATGGATAATTCTACTGTACTTGGGTGGCCAACTCAGGGTTTTATTTTCACATTTGAGAATTGTTATTAGATTTTTGAGGAAAAAGAGAGCTTAATTCTGTGACTATAATCATTGAAGCATCATTGTCATTCATCTGACATAGCATGAAATGGGTTTGTTAAGCACCTGAGCCCAGTACTATGCTAAATATTTTACCCAGATTCTCTTAATCTTCATAACAATCCCTTGAGGTCATATATCGTCTTCATTCACAAGACAAGGAAACTAAGGCCGAAGTGAACTGCCTACGGTCATAGCTAGAAAGTTGCAGAGCTAAGAACTGAACCCATTAGACTGACTCCAGAATGTCCTTAACCACTTTGGCTGAATCATAACCTCGGGGTCCCCAAACCTCGGTTTGCAGGGTGACAGGGTCCAGAGAAGGGAGTAAGCCTTTGGAACCCACATATAGCAACTGGCGATGGATAAACAAGAAATGGCTTTGACTTAATTATGCAACTGAAATAGCCCCTTAGATATCCCATTTTCCCCAAATGAACAATTCCAATTTTCTTTATTGGTCTGGGCAGGACTTTTCAATTTCAGAGACAGAGGATACACACACCCTCTCTCCAAGGAAAACATTGCAGAGTGAAATATTTGTTTTGCTCTTGTTTCACAAATGTAACATACTTCCAAGGTTATCTCTAAATAATACTTTGGGAAATTAATTGAAAAATTTACACTGTTTTTTAAGAAAGGAATTTAAATAAGATATATATATATATAAAAGTAAAAATTACATTATTTGAAAATAAATTCAATTTTTAAAAAAATGTGTACCACAGATGTAATTACATAACTCTCATTTATTGGGCATTTATTATAGGCCAGATACTGTGCTAAACACTTAAAAGCATTATCTAATTTCATTCTGAACGAGCTAGGATTAATAACCCTGTTTTATAGATGAGAAAAATTAGGTTTCTCTTAGAGGGCTAAGTAAATCGCCTGAGGTCACACAGCCATCAGGTGGTAGAGCTGGAAATAAAACACAAATGTGACTCCGACTCCAAACTACATCCTAAATTCTTCTCAGTATTGTGCTATGGAATTAGATCTCACAAAGTTTATAGAAGAGTCTTAGCAATTTGAATGACGGTTTTTATCTAATTACCTTCATTTGCACATTGTTGGAATACTGAGAAATCATTTCTTTCTATAAAACTCTCCCTCCTCTTGCTCCACCAAGCGTATTCACAGCAAATTCTGAAAGCAACATTCTTTCCTAGATTCCCACCATCAACTGTTTGGTGTGTAGTGCAAGTGGACAGTTAGGAAAATGCAACTTTGAAAGCTGATATGGTTGGTTTAATTCATGGTAATGAAGTAAATAAGCCCACACATTATGTCATCTTCCTTGATGAAGCTGAGAAAATTTAACATTAAAATTCAGATTTTTATTTTCCGTTAAAGGATAATCATATTGGGATTGTTTTCTCTTCACCTAGTCTAATGAGAACTGGAATTCCAGCAAAGAAAGCTGCCTATGCAGGACAATATATTATTTGCTGTTGGATGATCTGTGGAAGCAGTAGGACTTGTCCCAGTGCCTCTTAAGACTAAGAAAAACCCTTGAAATTACAGTGGCAGGGGTCTTTGGAGAGCTCAGAGAGGGGAGCTGCCCATGTGCTGGCTGGGCTGGGCCCTGCTGGCAGAAGTCCCTCTTAAGACTAAGAAAAACCCTTGAAATTACAGTGGCAGGGGTCTTTGGAGAGCTCAGAGCGGGGAGCTGCCCATATGCTGGCTGGGCTGGGCCCTGCTGGCAGAAGTTGAGGGAATTCAAAGGCGGCTACCTAATGTCTTGGTGGCGGGGACTGGGAACAGCCCGCTGTGGCTGCAGATCTGGGATGCCAGCAAAGCCAGGGTGGTGACCTGCTTGCCCACACTGCCTATGGTCTGACCACCCTGTCTCCTGGGGCCTGGGGAGGCAGGGCCACTGCAGGCCAGAATGGGCAAGGAGAGGTTCAGGCCTCCTAACCCTCCGGGCCTTTTGACCTCAGCAGGGTCCCAGCTTCCTTCACTGTAAATATAGGTATGAGGATTATGACAACCTGTCAAAGGTACCTTCCCAAAGCTGTCTGAATTTCTAGACAAAATAACTCAGAAAAGGGCTATTCCTAATACACCATTATCAATTCTCTGATGGAGGGGGTGGAAGGCTAGATGGGGGGAGGGGCGGGCAGGAGCTGGGCACAGTGAACACCAGCAACAAGTAAAAACTTGCAGTCTGGCTGGAATTCAGATCCTGTATATTTCAAGTTTCCAGAAAAGGGTATTATCAGTTTCTTGAACTGGTACGGAAATATACCATTGGCCAGAAGCAGCACAAAAAGCTTCTTTTCAGGGTTCTACTACTAAAAATATATGATCATGATAAGCAAAAGCAGTAATGGCGGGTAGGGGTTTAAGTAAGAAACATCCCTAAATACTCTTATGCTGTCCCGTATTTTAACAATCTTCCACAAATGAGGTTCCAGTAATCTGGAAATATATAGGTAATATATAAGCAGCATTTACTTGGCCTTGAGCCTCCTGATCACTTTCTGCTGGGAAGCATTAAAGAAAGCATTTGCTGTAGACCTATTATTTTTTTCCCTGACCCATGTCCATTCTTCCTTTCTTTGGGTAGCAGTGTTTTTCTCTCTCTCCCTTTGAGAAATAATCTTCCCTAGTGCTGCATGTCATCTCAGTGGTCATGTCAGTCAAAATGCACTGCCCTCCCCTTGACTCTTGGGCCAAGTGGCACAAGGATAGAAGACGCTTTGTGATGATTTGTCCTCTGGTGCTGTCCTTTCCCAAGTCTGCTTGTTCAACATTCCTTCAGCTCTCTGCTACCCACAGCCATCCAACAATTTCTTTCTTTCCTTTTTTTAATTTGTTTTTGTTTTTGCTTAAGGTAACCAGTCTTTGTTGCTCATACTGTACTTTTAAATATTTGAGAGAAATCACTTTGAAACAAACAAGATATGTTTGTATATACTGGGAAAACTGCAAATCTCTGTTCTCATAGTGGAAATTATTTCAAGTTTGTGTCTATTTGGTTTCATCTACTAAGAGGCAGCTGTGGTGTTGAGAAAAGACCCCTGGATGTGGCTGTGTGACTTCAGATGAGTCACATCACTTCCTGGGCCTTAATTTTCTTATCTGTAGATTGAAGAGGTTTGGCTAAGTAATCCCCAAGATCCTTCCTAACCTGAAAATCCAGGAATTCCACAGTTTTCCCTTCCCGAGGGCTTCTGGGCCAGAGGAGAATTCAGGGTTTTTCCTTTCCTCTGTCAAGGCAGATGGGCCCCATGGCTGAGGTAGAAATCACAGGGGAACACAGTGCTGATTTCAGGGGAAAGGAATAAACGAGCACAGAGAGGAAGACTCTTTTTAAAATTCTGTCAGTTTAGAAATAGGGGGTAGCAAATCCAGCCTCCTGCACAGAGGTCCGATTGTCTCTTCAGTTTGCACCACTATACCCAGTGTCTGACACAGAACGCCCTGCTGTGTGCCACTCCCAGGACTCCCTGGGGAGTTGACCAGATTATACTGCCTCTTGCTATCACATCTTATTACATTTAGGATATGATAACATAGCCACTTCAGATGCAGGGCGGGCGAGGAAGACTCTGAACACACTGTTAGGACTAAATAGTGAGAATAGAGAAAAGGACAGCCGCATGAGAAAGACATTTCAATCAGGAGTTTTTTCAGGCCTTATTCTTTTTGCTCAGTTAGCATGTGCACTGTTGTTAACAGATGGGCGTAACGTATTATGAACAAGAAAAGAAGTGGGTTAACGGCTCACAGGATCATGGGTTTGTTGCCTGCCTTTGGGGTCACCCAGACTCACTCTAAGAAATAAGGCTATTAGAGCGGGTTTGATCACTCCCTTGTTTTGTTGTTTCATTAAATCTCACTAGACCCAAGAGGAAAGTAATTGCCTTCTGGGCTCACTCACACACAAAAGCATCCCTGATAGCTGTGAGCAGGCCAGCTACGGCTGGTACACTTTTTCTGTTTGTTTAAATCAAACATTCCTTCCTTTACTTTTTGTCTGATATTGCCCTGTTGGACCTCTGTGTCCTGGCTGGATCTTCAGTCTGATTGGAGGCCATTTCTTTCCCATCCCCAGGTTTTAGAACCAAACCCTGAGCTTAAGATGTTATGACTGAAATGCTTTGCACAGAGGGGTTGGAGTCATAAATCTAACTTCTCACGTGTACTGCACATATGATTGGCCATAAACCGACCCTTATACCCACATCCAGGGCACAGTTACAATGATACCTCTTCAGAACCCAGAAGCCTTCTAGGATCTGGAAATGGACCACTTGCAGCACCACAGTTATACTTTAATGAGTCCCAAAAGAATAAATATTCAGAAGCTGCCCTGGTAAACTGCTTAGCAGCTCAGCTAAGAATAATAATACACAGTTTTATGGAAGATGTGTGATAAGGGGGTGAAAAAATGGAGTGAACTATGTTCATTACTTACTTTGCTCAAATATTTTACTTTTTGGTCCCCTCTCCCTCTATCATCATTCCCCCCCACATAACAAAAACAAGCACTTTATATAGGAATGGGATATGGAACTTTGATCCCAGCTCTTTCACAACCATGTGGTTGCTTTCGCAGAAAAGAAACCACTGCCTACCTGAGTTTTTGTCGGGCAGTCGGTTTATCCTCCACACGATGGAGTTGAAGGCATGCTCATACTTGGCAGTTCCCAGAGTTACTCTCATGACAGGCTCAGAGCCAGAGACACTAGTTGACCCAAAGCTTGCCCCCCGGTTCACTTTGGCTTTCAAAGACTTTTCCCCCAGGACACTTTCCCTGCGGAAGTTTTTCACCCACTCACTGGGCACAGGGTAACGGACCATCACATTCTCACAGGGAACCTGAGTGAGGGGGTCACGGTTAGAGGAGAAGCCTGTTGACATCCTCAGCCAGCTCTGCACCTCCACCTCGGCTCCGTTGATGCTTGCTGCTGTCCTGAGCGTGAAAGGCAAGGTCTTCTCAGCAAACACTGTCCTGAACCGCATCAGCTCAAACCGGCATGCATCCAAAGGGTTGAACAGAATAACCCGGGAGCTGCTGAATACATCCTCATCCACACACCCATGAAAATGGCACTCGTGGAGCTTGATCCACTTTGTGGTGGTGGTGGGCATAATGTCCTGCCGTGAAACTACTTCGTTCCCTTTGACGAGGACATCATTGAGGCCCAAGCGGCACTCTGCTAGCCCAGAGAGGAAACTCAGGATGTGGATCCGTGTCAAGACATGGTGCTGGAGAATTTGGTTGTCTCCTTTGCTCACAATGCCAGAGAATTCATCTCTGACATCCACCGTAATCTCCTCTTCAAGGTAGTTCAAGCCAACTGTGCTCAAGTCCATTGATGACACTGGCAGATACATGAGATGGTCTTGAACTGCACGGATGAAGCTGAGGAAATCATCATAATTGGTGGTGCCCAGCTTAATCACTTGTTCCCTCTCTGCTGTGTGGGTCACAGCAAGTTTGGGCTGGTATTTCTTCTTCTCCTTGTAGGTGACACGGTCTATCCGCAAGCTGTGGATCCTGCCATTCTCATCGTAGTTTTGGAGTCGGGGTTCTGAAATCTCATGGCAGATTTCCAGCTTGAACTCACGGAATGGTTTTTCTAGGCCCTGCTCATAATACAGCTGCAGGTAACCACTGTCTGTCAGTTTGATGTAGATTGGTCCCCAGTGCCTAGAGGACATGATGTTTTTCTTCTCTGGGATCCTCAGCATCATTGGCCACCCATCCCTGGGCTGGGACAGTGCTGACTCAGGCAGGTGAGCATCTAGTTCCATCCAGGCTATTGGGTCATCATCGGGTAGTATGGCACTGCCAAAGTGATCAGGATCATCAATTTGGAGTTGTTTGAGTTTTTCAACAGCATCAGAGTGTGACCGGTTTTTGCTTGAATCATCAAAACTGATGGCATCCTGGTAAATGACAATGAGGGAATCTCTTTGGCTTTTGCCTGTGGTGCTGGAAATGGAACTGTTTTGGGAACGCCTCTCTTGCTCCTCAAAGAAAGCACTGAAAGGGTTGATAGGGGAGGGCTGTACATCTTGTAGAGTCTCATTCAGGAAAGGATTGGTTGCCCTCCAAGGTGGAGCCTCGGTTACTGAAGGTGGACGGTTTAAGGAGGAAATGTCCAGCTTCTGAACTTTGGAGAAGTTCATCAAAGTGCTTCTGGGACGGTCCCTCTTCTTAAATGACCCAGTTGAGTTATAAGGTGCCTCTGGTGTCACAGATGCAATAGGTGGTATATTTGGCTTCAGAGGAGAAGTGATTGGTGGCAAAGGGCCACTGACTTCATTGTCATCAAAAGTGACCCAGCTGGGGAAACGAGCAGAGGTCACTGCAGGGGCAGGGTGCCCATTCATGGCAGGACTGCTGGCCTGCCAGCTGATGGCCTCCATCTCTACCTCTTCATCATCCTGGGGCGAGGAAGAATTATCTAAAAGGAAAAGAAGCACATATGAGGGGCTGCCATTCAGGGCCTCTAGAGGTATGGGGAACTGAGGGATGGGAATGAGGGATTATTAGAATTTTATGTGGAAGCCAGTAAATCCCAAAGCAGCTCATTACCTGTCTCAAGTGCTTAATCTGGGCACAAATCTCATAATTTTGTAATGAGCACACCAAAGGGGCTGTCTCATTAGATTCAGTAAGAATATAATGGCTATATCAATACAAAGCACTGCCTGGTAGGACCAAGGTCCCTTGCAATTTAATTCTGTATACTCTTTCTTCATTTTACAGACTAGGTGTTTTCTGCACTTAGCTCCAGGGTATGTATTTTTAATTTTTAAACATTGAAAACCACCTTCTAAATAAAATGATATAAGCTGATCTCATTGAAAAAATAAGTTATCTTCTGTAGAATAACATACTTGGAGGGATTTTAGCTCAAATATGATCAACTGATATTAAAGACAAAATGTTAACATCCTTAAAAATTCATATAAGTGAACAAGAAAAATACAAAAACTCCAATAGAAATATGGGCAAAGGACATAAACAGAAAACTCATGAAAGAGAAATTAAAAATGTCTAATAAGCATGTGAAAAATATCCAATCTCACTAGCAGTTATAAAAATGCAAATTAAACAACAAAAAAAAATCAGTGAATATTTTTAAAGTTTTTAGTACTCAGTGAGGGTGAGGATGCCATGATAAGAACATTAAATAAACCCTTAATGAGACTGTAAATTGCTACAAATGCTGTGAAAAGAGGTGTGGCAATTTATATTAAGGCGGTTTATATTAACGTCTTACAAATGTTCATAAACAATGACTTAGTAGTTCCACCCTAAAGAAATAAATCACAATTTATTTCCAAACCAAGTTTGAAGAACAGAGATGTCCATGTTGTTATATTTATAATAGGGAAAGATTTTAAACATCCAACAATTGGGTGGATGTTAAGAAATTGAAGCACACGATGGAATAACCAGCAATAAAAATGTTTACAAGTATTCAGTAACATAAGAAAATGCTCATGATATAATCTCTTCTTTTTTTCTCTAAAATACTTTGCCATCTTCGAGTTTATTTTAGGATGTAAAGGTTATTACAAATAAAACTCCACCCTAGCAGGCTTTCAAAGGAGATACAGGAGCTGAGTTTTGATGAGGCAAAGATCTATACCTTTTCAGTAGCGTAAGGATCCTGTATGTCTGCTGGGGCTGTAGGAAGGGATGGGAAAATGAGACCTTTAGCAAGCAGGAATGGATTCTGACGAAGGAACAGCACAGACAACAAATGTCTGGTATGTAGTAGATACTCAGTACAGGTTTGTTGATTGAATGAGTGAGAAAAGAAACTTTGCATTGGAGTAGCTTTTCTTTCTATATGTTTCTGGAGGATTGTGTATGGGGATCTCTGTCACCATCCCACCCATGGTATCAACTACCAGTCATTTGGAACCAAAGAGAAATAGATACTCAAATGGTTGAGTTTTCTGACTGCCTCACTAAACTTTCATGATTGTCACATCCAACCATACAAAATCAGCAATGCCACGCATAATTGCATATGTAATTACACATGGATTTGATGACTGGCTTCGCATCCATCTTTCCAAGTAAATTATTTAACACATAGCAATCCCCTCAACTGAAAACATCAGTTTGAAAATGTCGGCTAAACACGTGAGTATGCATGCACACATGTCCACACCCACCCCAGAAATATAATGAGCGAAAAGTATTTTCTATATACATAGTACCACAAAAGGATTTCAAAGCATTTTAAAATTAAAGATGAGAATCTCCTTTAAATTAATCATAAATCTACTTTTGTAGATGGGTGAGTGATTAATTTTCTAGAAAATAAAGAGGGGCTGGCTGGTTAGGTCACTTGGTTAAAGCATGGTGCTGATAACATCAAGATCAAGGGTTTGAATGCCCTTACCGGCCAGACACCAAAACTAAAAAAAAAAAGAAAGAAAGAAAAGAAAGGGAAAGGGTCAGAAAACAACAAACAACCAAGGTTTGTAGTGTCTGTATTTTACTTATTTATTATTATTACTATTACTAATATTTGGGAGTGGTGCACAACAAAAGCTAAAAGGAAAACTGTGACCCTGAGTAAAATATAAGCACTTCTTTGGAATAGTGACTGGTCTTCCCTAGAGAACTAGGAAGGGGGTGTATCTCAAAACTTATCAATTTCTAATGTGGCAGCTCTATGGAGCTTTTGTAATACAGTGTTTCCACCCAAATAATCCCTTATTAGACCACTCCTTGTATCAGGGATATCCTTTTCGCCCTGGAGTTTATCACCATTCTCTCGTTTAAAACGAACTGAAGTCCTTTTCCTTTGGAGGGTGGCTTTCTGCCAAAGCTGTTTATACTTGCTGCCAGAGGATTCCTTTCTGTTGGCAATCTTGTCCCCAAAACAGCATTTTCACCTTCTTCTCCTAAGCCAAAAAAAGGAGGGGGAAAAAGGCCTTTGTCTCTACTGAAGATCATTTTCTTACAATAAATTCCTTTTCAAACCAAGTTATTTAAAATTGCACCAAGTCCTGGACAGTTTCAAAGCATCAGACTCATAATATAATTTAAATAAATTATCTTTAGATTTGGAGGAAAGTGTTTTGAATTAATTTCTAGAGATCTATTTTCCCTTTGACAGCCATTAAAAAAAATCAAAAGACTTTGTTACAAAAATTTTCTCTCCTTTGGCAGTTTCATGTCCCATAATCTATACTTTGGGACAATAGTGGGGCATAGGTCCAATTTCCAAAATCGAGAATTTGTTTTTCTCAAAATCATTAATAAACAAAAAATATTTTAGTAATGTAAGACACTTGTACAGATGAAAAGCAGAAGCGGTCCATAGTTCACATGAAAATAAAGCATTTCTCTGAAGTGAATCTAAGGACTGCCAAACACCACTTTTAAAAATTATCCCTTATTAATACTGACTTTCCTGTTTTGAGCTCTTAATTCTGCTTCATTTCTCACGTAACTGAAAGGCATCTTCTAAGCCCCTTTTATTTTATTTTTTATTTTATTTTATTTACTTTTTGTTCATCATCCAATTTTATTTACTCATAAAAACAAATCCAAAGACCTGTGCAGCAGCTCTGAGCTCAGGCCTGGCCCTGCTGCATTCTCTGCTCTTCACTGGAGGTAGCACATTAATCCCCACAACAAATCTGTGAGGTAGGTAATCACCACCTTCCCCTCCTGATCCATGCTGCAAGTGGGGAAACTGAGGCACACACTAAACAGAAAGCAAGAATATGGGGAATTCAGGGTCAGCCCTGGAGTCAACACAAAGTGACCTCTTGGTTCTCACCACAGACTAGTCAGTGATTTCACCTGTGAGCCCCTTGTTATTGAAGGATGTTCTTTGGACTTTTACACTCAAAAATAAAATAAAATAAAACTTCTGGAGGGAAATATTTGCATTATAGATGACAAAAAGTTAATATCCTTAATATATAATGAGAGCGTACTTTCAATAAAAATGAATATTCCTTTACAAATAAATAGGATAAGAACAAATAATTGACTAATGAAGAAATATAAATGTCTAATAACTATTTGGAAAAAAGAGTTTAATAAAACAATGAAAATCAGACAGACAAATTAATAAATACTAACCACTATTGGTGATAGGTGGGGAAATTTACTTTCTCTTGAGAGTGATATAAATTTTTTCTGAAGGGCAAATTTGAAAATTTGTCTTTAAGTCTCAAAAACTACAACAACAACAACAACAACAAAACAACCTGATCCAAGAATACTACTTGTAGGAGTTTATTTTAAGGAAATAAGACAAGCATACAACAACGTATGTAGTGGATGTTTATCATAGCAATGTTTGTATCATAGAAAAATTGGAAACAACCTAAATGCCTACCAATGGGAAACTAGTTATATAATGTTACACCTTTGAAACGGAATCTCAGGTGGCGACCAAGAGGATGCTCTTGATGTGTGTTTACTTGCATGGAAGTTGACCATAATATATTGGTCTGTGAATAACAAGAATCTATAATCTGAAGTCAGATTGTGTGGGTTTCAATTCCGTATCTGCAGTTTATTAGCTATGTGACTTTGGGGGGCAAGTTTTTAATTTTTCTGTGTCTCAGTTTTCCCATCTAGGAAATTAGGAAAATATTAAATCTTCCGTATCTGCAGTTTATTAGCTATGTGACTTTGGGGGGCAAGTTTTTAATTTTTCTGTGTTTCAGTTTTCCCATCTAGGAAATTAGGAAAATATTAAATCCTACCTGGCAAGCAAATAATAAGTGAATAATAAGTGTTCAGTAGATGTAGGCTGCTCTTACTACTATAACTAGAATGACATTTTTCATTATACAAAATATATATGTATTAGAAAGATTTGGAATATACTTCATAATGTTTTGATGTGAAAGCACATCTTGTGGAGTAACAGGCGATTTTAAAAATCTTAAATCTGTATTTTCTTTTTTAAAAAATGCTGTACTGCTCACAAAATAAATAAATAAAAGTTGAAAACATATCTTTATTACTAGTACTAATAAACCTTAGAGAAAGGAAACAAACAGTTTAGGTATAATCTGTGTTGAGAAAGCAAAACAGCAGTTAGATTTTTCCTGATATAGTTATGACTGTGCAGCTGGTACTAGAAACAACAAAGGGGAAAAAAGGCTGGCAAATTTCTCCAGTAAGAAATAGGCAAAAACTAATTATCTTGAATACAAAGTTAACTACTATCCACAATTCCAATTTACTGACATTAAAATAAAACCAAAACCAAAAATCCAGTATTACTTTAATTATTATCTCTTTCACTTGTGAACTCCAAATTGCTTTTATTATGAGTTGGGCTGCTGCCAAACAAAAGCAATGTATAAAGATTAGGTTCTCAGTCTATATCACAGGGAAAATTTTTAGTGCCTAAGAGATTCCTAGTGTATTTACTGATGCAAACTAAAGAGAAATGGTGCATTCTTT